GCGCGGGGCGGGCCGGGGGCGTGGGGTGCTCGGCCCTGCCGCTAGCCGCTGCACCGAGGGCTAGCGGCCGCCAGCGCCGGAGGACGCGGGGTATTGGGCAGAGCTCCGGACTCCAGCGCCCGAACGCCCGAACGCCCGACAGCGCTCTGGGAAGCTCCCAGGGCCTCACTCGAACCACGGGCCCTGACGCTCCTGAAGTTGCACACGGAGATTCAAGTGCATGGAAAGTGGGATGTTTTCTTAATAAAAGGCCCAGAAACCCTTCAGGGCCAAGGGAGCTGAATAAGAACCAGAGCCTGGATTCGGGAAGCTAAGGTTTCTTGAAAATGTTTATGGATGGCGCGGGGCTGTGGCTTCAGGTCTGGGAACATCCAAGGCACAGCCACTTCCTTCAGGGAACTCGGTCCCACCAGGGAAACACAAAGTCACAACCTCATTGGAGCCTGACACATCCGCTGCATGTAATTAATGTCTTACAAGAGAAAAGTGAAGCGAAGACAGCGTGCATGCCGGGTTCCAAGGCGACCTGCCCAACACCCTGGTCACCATCCCAGCCACAGGAGGCGGAAGCTGCCGGCAATTTAAGGATCTGCTGACTCCACTCCCACAATTCATCCTTGGGAGATTCCCCAAGGCCAACAAGAGCTACTCAAGAGGGTGCCTGCTGCTGGTATATTAGAAGACAGTATGGTCGGTGGACAGTGTGGCTCGTTTTAAATGATCTGTATGTGACCAGAAGGAAACAGACCAACTGCTAACAAGTCTTTTCTATAAGCACCCAGATTAAGTGGGTTTTGTATTTTTGTCTAATTTTTATGTTCTTCAGGCTTTCTAGCACAAGTAGACAGTTGATAAAGCTCAAACGTCATTTTAAATGGTCTTTAAAGGAGTCTATAGAAACAATTTGCTGTCTCCTGAGAATATCATCCTGAAAAGTATATGTATTATGGCCATAAGTGAACCATGTTGTGTGCAAAACCATGTTGTGTGCAAAAGCCCACAGTGAAATGACGAACCGGAAAATATCTGTGAAAAACTCTTTGTCTCTTCTACATTGTAAAACTCAGAAGAGCAACTGGGCCAACTGCTTTTCTGTTCTCCATTTTTATTATCCAGATGGTGCTGTGTCCTTCCACTGGCTGCTTCGTTCTTGAAGATTACGGAGCAAGCCACTAGCAGAAGCAATAATGACATTAGTGCATCTTTCCACTGGATTGTCATGTCTCTTTTGAAGAAGAAAAAGTACAAGCTTTATGCTGGATTCATCCCCCTCACTTCTGTCTTCAAGTCAAGATAAAATGCTGACAATGAGCTAGAACAGATGACGCGCTCGAAATGGCTGAGAAGTCATTAACTAGCAAAAAATGAGTTCAAAGGACAGGAAGAAACAACTTGTTATGGATTGAGAGACAGGAGACAGGACTTTCACTTTCCACAAGTAACTTTCTTCCCTGGCCTCAGGCTCTCTTGAAAAAACAACCTATAACTAATTCTTGGGGAAGGGGGGTGCCTTTGGGTGGAAGAACAATTTGCTCAAACTTGGAAAACACAAATGGTCATTTAAACTCTCAATATCCAAAGATTCAAAGAACCCAGGATGGGGCAAAAAAGCAGCTTAGAGGGGCTTCTTCCTTTTTCAATGCCATTTGCCCAAACTCTAGTCAGTCACAGCTCTACTGGAGACACTGGACCTCCTTGGCCTTCCCGGGGCCATTTTTCTTCCTGGTCTTTTGGATCAAGACATTTCCACTTTGTTTAATAAATTTGTAGCTGTTGGGTGTGACCACGGGCTAAACTCCTGCTCATCTCTCAAGTCTTGGCTCCAATGCCCCTTCCTCCAAGAGCTCCACCTTGATAAGTCAGATCAAGGTCATGGGAGCTATGTGCTCCCCTCACAGAATCCAGTACTTGGCTTAATTCTCATTCATTCACCTGACAAGTGTTTCCGGCACTGATGTGTGCAGTGTACTGGGGATGGTTCCAGTGCTGGAGTGTTGTGGGAATAAGATCAAGCCCCTGCCTTCCTGGGCTGAGAGTATTGGGACAACAGAAAAGAAATACCTGTATTTTATTATCAATAAGTGCTATGGAGAAAAGACAAGACAAGGAGACAGAGGGGTCGAGGGTGATGCTGATTGAAATGGAACAATCAGGGAAGGCTTCTCTAAGAAGGTAATATTTGAACCAGGTGTAAATAATATGAGTGAGCCTCACAAAGACTTGGGAGAGGGGCTGGAGGAGTAGCTCAGTGCTAATGCACATGCTCAGCATGTGTAAGGCCTTGGGTTCTACACCCAGCACCAAAAAAAAAGTTCTCGGGAGACATGTCCTAGGAGGAGATAGGCCCTGTGTGCCTCTCCCTTGGGGGTCTTCCTCACTCAACTCCCTGAGGGGTTGGTTGGTAGCAGCTGGCATGCAGCAGAAGCTAGCACATGAGAACGGGGCAGGGCAAGGTGGGGGGACGACCAACGTCATTCCCTCTTGCCCAACCACACACTCACTGTGTGTGTTACTCCTTTTATCTAGAGTATCCACTTCCCTTTGCTGCTACCCAAGTGCCTGCCTGCCTTCAGATACCTCCGGAATTGGTCTGCTGTCAAGCCATGCCTGCTCCAGCCCCTGGCCTTGGACTCTTGTGTGCTACAAGATTCCACAGTTGATGGCAGGCACGGTGGCACATCCCACCAATTCTAGCAGCTCAGGAGGCTGAGGCAAGAGGATAGCAAGTTCAAAACCAGCCTCAGTGACTCGGGGAGACCCTGTCTCTAAGTAAAATATAAAAAAAGGCTGGGAACGTGGCTCAGTGGTTAAGCACCCTTGGGTTCAATCCTAATCCCGGGTACCAAAAAAAAAGATTCCACAGTGGCCATTCTGGGAGTGGCCCTTCAGGGGACCCCAGCGCTCCAACTCTGAAACCATGTGAGCCCACCAGGGTGGACAGACAGCAACTGTGTTATGAAATCATACAATCACATTCTTGGATCAGGCTTGGTAATCTCTCAGCCCCCAGAAAGGGAAGGACAGCACCCTCACTCCAACACGCCCTCCAGGACCTGCAGGCAGGAGCCACGGGGCTTCCAGCTTGCAGGACTGTGCTGGTGGCAGCTGAGCACATTTGCTCTGAACGTCTGCCAGCAGCTGCCACTCTCCAGCACTTGTGACAACAGCCCTGATTCTGTGTGTTTGTAAGTTACAATTCTGCTTGCATTTCACTGCTCCACAGCCCCAGAGCACTTTATGTTCCATGCCTTGTCACAGTGGCAGTCAGCCACAGTCACTTCCCTCTGTCACAGATGCTGAACATAGAACTCAAATGCAAGCCACAGACTCACCAAGACTTACATATATTTCATTTTTTATTACCAATCAAAAATAAATTCCGTATATTGTTTAGCAAATATTATCATTGTTTTGTGACAAAAGACACAAGAGTCATAACAACAAAACTCCCCGAGAGTCAAACTCATAACAATGCCAAAATAAATCACAAAAATATACAAATTAAAATCTTACGTAAAATAAATAGGAGTCATCTGCTACGGTGGCTGTGACTTGCCTACCCATTTGGATGCCATTTGCCAAGGTCTCCCTGGCCCAGGAAGACAAGCGGAGCAGGCCAGGTCCAGGGTATGGCTCAGCCCAGGAACCAGAGGTTGGAATAGGAAGTGAGAAATTGCACTGGGAGGAGGAAGTCATTGGACTGGTGATATCTGGGAATAATTATGACCCTCTTCAGGAAGTGATTATCAATGGGGAAGGGAGAGGAGGAGGGGGACCACCTGTTGGTAGTGACTGTGTGTGCAAGAGGTAGCTGTGGAAGTGAGTGCACCTGCTCCTTCTGCTCTACACACACCCACAAGGTTTGGGCCAACGTGCTTTGCTCTGCCGGCACCCTGGCCTCTCAGGAACACAACTCTGCCAGCTCCTGTGGGGACTCAGAAGCAAGCTGCTCTTGTAGAAAACTAGGGGTCTCCTAAGGGCTCAAAGAGTTGCTGTCTTTTCCCTTATGGTCGAGAGCACACAGGCATCTATAGCTCCCCAGGCTTCTAGGAGTAAATTCTGTGCCTGGGGAGGCCTTAGACTGGCCAGGGCAGGACACTCCCTAGTGCCAGGAGTTAGGACTAGGACTCTCTAGGCACCTGGAGAGCAGAGCACTGGGTGACAGGCCTGCCCTGGCTGAGGAAAGGCAGGAACACCTGCCACGCAGGCGGAAGGTGGGCAGCTTCCCTCACCTGGATCTGGTGCCCCAGCTCCTGTGCTTCCTGACAGAAGGCAGCCCTTGGTCCCACAGCCTCCCCCATGGTGGGAGCCAGGAGCTCTGGAGCAGGCCCTGGGGTGGGACTTCCTGCAGGTGTGAGAGACTCTCACGTAGTACCAGCGTCAGCACGGGCCAGTCGGAGCCCTCACGCCAGGGTCATGAGGATGTGAGGAAACGGGACTACTCCTCTGCTCGCCCACAGACCTCTCCCTAGTGAACCCCACTGATGGGATCCCATAAGGGGGTGAAGAAGGTCAGGTGACCTCGGCCAGCCACAGGAAAGGGCATGAAGAACCGTCCTGGTGGCTTCAACATGCCCTCTTGTCCCCAGTCCCCCAGAGGGACCAGGGCTTAGAGAGGAGGAGGAATCTAGAAGGGTGGCTTCCTGGGCCAGGTGGGCCCTGGCTCCTCTTGTAGGGTGGGGATGGGTGGGTGGTCATGGCTGCCACAGCACAGAAGCCATGGCCAGAATCACCCCTGGATCCAAAAGGAGTACCTGACAAGTAATCTCTGGCATAGATGCCCTGCCCACCAAGGGGGGCCTTTGGCAAGGCGGAGACAAGCCTGGGGAGCAGGGAGCAGCGTGACGCCTGTGGCCCGCCTGACACTGCTCACTCCGTACCAGGTGGGAGTTCTTCCAAAGGAGAGATGGGGGGCGGGAGGAGAATCCTCAGCGAGCCCTGACTCACCGGGAGAGCCCATCCAAGGAGTTCTGATAGGTTCCTGGGTCCAGCGGTGACAGAAGATGTGCTCTTCTCCGTGGCCAGGGCCATCGTGCCCCTGGTCACAGTCACCCAGACACAGTCGGCCGTAGCAACTTCAGTCAGGCCCTGGGTGTGCCCATGTTCAAGCAGCTGACCTCAGGCCTGGGTTCCTTGCTTCTGGAAGAAGCCAACTCCTTCTGCAGGCACTGGCCCCCACTCTGCAGGAAAGGGTGGGCTCCCCGAGGCAGGGACAGAGGCTGGAAGGGCATGGCTGGGAGCAGATTATGGCTATTGCTTCCAGGGTGGGGATCCCTCCCCCTTTTAAAGTTTTGGTTTTTTTTTTTTTTTTTTGAAAAAACATTTTTTTTTAACATAAAGTTCTTTAACCCTGTCTTCCCTTCCCAAAATGATATTTAAAAAGAGGAGCAACGAGCCTAGTTTAGAAGTCCTCAGTAAGAAACAGCCTTTGCTCAGGTGGCTGACCCACCGCCCACCAGTCCAGGGCTGGCAGTGCCACCGCAGCCTGTTCAGAGGTCCCTGTCAGCAGCACCCTGGCTGCTCAGTCACACAGGCAATCCGCACCCCTGTGGCCTAACAGGCCCCCTCTCTCGGTGTGGCCCACTGGGGAGGCCCCGCGGGGCGGGCAGGGCCCCGGGCCCTGCTGTCAGATGGCGCTGTCCGGGGAGGCTCTGTGCAGCAAGGAGTTGCGCTCGTTGAGCAGCGTTGTGGTCTCGTCCACCACGGGCAGCTCGGGCTTCTCGGTGAAGTTCTCCGTGCAGGTGGTGCACCCGTCCAGCGGAAACTGTGGGCCGTTCTCCATGCGGGAGGCCATCAGCCCGTTCTGGTACTGCTGCCGCGTGATCTGTGGGCAGGAGGCGAGTGCGGTGGGCAAGAGCTGGGGCCCAGGCAGAAGAGAGGGCCTGCGGGGGCTCCCAGCAGGCGCAGGGCAAGGTGAGGAGAAGGATGCTGCGTTTGGGTGGGGAAAGAGGCCACTGGTCCTGAGCAGGGACGAGGGCTGCAGCAGGGGCACTTACCTTAATGTACTGCAGGTCCATGAGTGCCCGGACACTGAAGTCCGAGATGTACTGGCCCAGGATGGAGCTGCCAAACTGGTTGCTGCCAGCCGCCAGGGTGGACGTGGTGGACGCATCTGTGCTGCGGTCCGGGTAACTGAGGGAGGCTGAGCGGCTGAGGGGCATGGGGTGCGATGGGGAGCGGTCTGTGGGGACAGCAGAGGCTGGCAGGTCAGGCTATGCCCTGAGCTCAGCCCAGGGGAGACAGGGACATGGTCTCTCTCCAAAAACAAGACAGTTCTTTTTTTCTTCCCTAGTTGTTGATGTCATTTTTTTTTCATTTGTGTATTTATATACAGTTGCAGTGCTGAGGATAGAACCCAGTGCCTCACACATGCTAGGCAAGCGCTCTGCCCCTGAGCCCCAACCCAGCCCAGCAGGACAGTTCTTAGGGACAAACAAAAGCACACAGAAGCTCCAGCTGCACCAGCCTCAAGGCTAACCGAGCTAGTGTTCAGAAGAGCGGCAGGCAGTGTTAAACAGTCCATCCAAGCAAACTGGTCAACAGGAAATGTGCAGCTGCAGAACCCCTTGGTGAACCCCCCAAATTCATCAGTCCCAGTCAACACACAGTGATCACCCTCCCGTGACAGACAAGCAGCTACCTTTGTCTCAATACCAGCTTATGTCAAGTGACTTAAACTACATACTTTTAAACAAAGAACATTTAGGGCTGGGGTGGTGGCTCAGTGGTAGAGCACTCGCCCAGCACCTGTGAGGCACTGAGTTTGATCCTCAGCACCACATTAAAAAAATAAAATAAAAATAAAGAACCTTTCTTAAGAAGAAGAGCACACAGTCCTCACTCTCTCAGCGGGAACCCCACCCCATGATGCCTGTCACTGCTACAGAGTCGGAGGTGTGCTCGGCTCAGGACGGGGTCAGTCCACTGTCTGCCCCCACCCAAGCCAGCTGTCAGGAGGAGGAGGGTGGCAGGTTCCTCACGGGAACCCCAGGGTCCTGGTTAACTAGGACGGCGGGTGGCACAGCCCAGCCACCAGGCAGCACAGGCCTCTCCGCCCAGGAAAGGGTGCAACTCCAGCCCATCCCAACCCAGCCGAGGAAGGGGGAAAGGAGCTGCCCCTACATGGCACAGCTCACCATTAGCTCAGTTTTAAAAACACAGAGAACAAGGAAAGACTCAGAGAAGTCACTAGTGAATGCAACTTGTTTTATTTTTGTCTGTTTTATTTTATTTTTTTGGTACCAGGAATCAAAGCCAGGGGCGTTTAATCACTGAGCCACATCCCCACATCTCCAGCCCTGTTTTAAAATTATCTTATTTTGAGACAGAATCTCATTAAGTTGCTGAGGGCCTTGCAAAATTGCTGAGGCTGGCCTCAAAACTTGCAATCCTCTTGCCTCAGCCTCCAGAGTCACTAGGATTACAGGCAGGCACCTGGTGCTTGCAACTTGTTTTACACAAACAGGAAGTGGATCAAGGGGGTTTGCTTTAGTTAACTACGAAGTTACTAAGTTAGCTATGCCATGAAATAGCCAGCAGAGAGAACAAACACTGAACCCAGGAATTCAAGGACCCACACAGCTTTTACCAAGTGAGATCAAATAGAGTACTCCTCTATTTTTCTGCTTAAGTAAAGCCAGATTTTCTCTAATAAATCTAGGAAAATACAGTCTGGCCATTCTGTGACTGGGTACGCCCACCAAGGAACAGGAAACAGGCTCACTAGAGGGTCACATGAAAGTAGCTAAGCAGTACCTCTGATTCACCTCCAGGAAAAAGTTAGAAATACCAGGAGTATTACTTAATATCTTACATTAATCATCTGAATGATGGAATGCCTTTTGAAACAGGAACAGAATTTATTTATTTAGGCTGGGGATGGAACCCAAGGCCTAGTGCATGCTAAATGCAGGCTCAACCATTGAATTTAAAACCTGCGCAAATGATCTTTTATAAATAGAGGTCCTATAAGGACATATCAGAGTATTGTCTCTGAGAAATGAAATTATGGTACTTTTTAATTTTCTCAAAAACTTTTTTTCTGTTTTCCCAATAAACTGTTAATTTTGGGATCAAAAAGAAAAACAATAAAAATGGCAAATATCAGGGTTCTTTGATCTGGTAATCCTGTTTCTGAAAGAATATCCTAAGAATATAATCTTAAACTCTGAAAAGTTTTTGCATAATTTTTAAAAATCATGGTATTATCTATAATGACTTCTCCAGCTAGGTGTGGTGGCACACACCTGTAATCCCAGCAGCTCAGGAGGCTGAGGCACGAGAATCACGAGTGCAAAGTAAGATACTAAGCAACTCAGTGAGACCCTGCCTCTAAATACAAAATAGTGCTGGGGATATGAGTCAGTGGTTGGGAGCCATTGAGTTCAGTCCCCAAAACCCACCCCCCAAAGACTCCTTTAGCAAATACATTTAAAGCAGAGAATGAACGGGTGATGCTAGCCCTGCTCCATGACAAAGTACCTTCCAGAAAGGCACCCCTGCTCCCAGAGGCAGAAGCAATGCGAGGTCACACCCTGCATGCACCCGCACACTCGCACACTCGGGGAGCAGCAAGTGAGGAGGGAGAGGGCTGGAGTCACACGGGGGCTAGCAAGTGGCTTCTTCCAGGTCACCTTTGTATTTTTAGACAAACAAAGGGTCAAAGCAGCACAGCGCACACTGAAGCACTGAAGAGAAAAACTCATCTGTACTCCTGTCAGATGGGGACAGCTTACAGGTAATGGGGTTCAGTATGTCAGGGCCCAAGGAGCTCAAACATGCCCATGACCATGGGTTCCAGCCCCGATAGAACCCTCAGGTGCCCCCAGCCCCTGGTGCACACGGGGCCCAGCAGCCTCGGCCTCACCATGTCAGGCCCCGCTGTTCCTGGGGGACGTGTCGGGTGGGACAGAGCTGAGGCCAGGCACAACACAGCACCAGGCCTTTCCCTAAGTACTTCTGACTCAAATATCCCAGTTTATAGGAGAGAAAAAACAGAAGCCACCAAGCTCTAACTAGATGGACTGTCGCTTCCTGCTCCTGGCAGCTCCTCACAGTGGGCAGTGTTGCTCCCACCTCCTGAGTGTCCAGGACTAGCACAATGGGGCTCCTGCCCATGCCTGCTGCTGCCTGGCCTGAGGGCATGGCCAGCAGGTGACAGACCTGAGCACCAAGTGGCAGGCGTGAGGGTGGGCGGGAAGTGTCTCAGGTGAAAAGATAACGTCATCCTGTGGGGCTTGTGAGCAGCCTGGAGCAGGGTGCCAAGCGGCTGGACTCATCCCCTCCAGACAGTACACCTTGGCTTGGCCAAGGGTTTTTTGGGGTGCCTTCTCAAGGACTAAGGGACCCTTTCAGGACTGAGGCAAAGCCATCTAGAAACTGGACACTAGGCCAACCAGAGGAAGGACCCAGCTGGCCACCAAGTGTGTCCCGGTGGAATGCCCAGGTGCCTGGGGGCAGGGTTAATGTGGGTGCAGTGCGCAGCTTGGACGACAGGTGGCAGTGTGAACTCCTCACATGCTGCGTTACCTGAGAGCCAGGACAGCAGCGAGTTCCGCTTGCCAAGCGGACACCCGGCCTGGGTGGAAGGAACTGGAGCAAGAGAAGAGGAGGTCAGTGACCTTGCAGGGTCAGGAGGCAGGACACAGAGCCACAGGAATAGGACAGAGAGGCAGACCCGACAGGAGCCAGTCTGCTCTGGGCAGGGTGGGAGGGCTCTGACAGGAGGGGTGCTCCAGGCAGACCAAGGAGCCCTGAGCAGAGGCAGAGCTGGCCCAGTGTGCTGACAGCCATTTCCCCTCCCTCCTGGTCACTCCAAATGGGAGCTGTGTGGCCTCCAGCAGCATTGGGAAGGGCTCACAGGCCTGCTGCCCTGCTCACTGGCCTGGCTGCTCGGCCAAGCTGAGCTGCAGAGAGCAGCCTGAGGCATGTGGGTGAGCCCACCTGCTCCAGAGCCCAGCTCAGGAGCCCCCTGTCTCTCACCCCCAGGACCCTGCAGTGCCCTGGCTCATCCCGGTGGGGGGCAGAGGAAACGGGCTGAGCTGCATGTTGGCAGTCAGGTGTGTTCTGGCCCCCGCACAGGGTCCTGAATGTCTAAGGACAGTGACAGGCCAGCACAGAAGTTCTCCAGGAGCCTGCCTGTTCCAGCACCAACAGGTTCTGCTCTCGGCCTGCAAGAGCCTCCATGGCAGGAGGGTGGAGGAGCAGGGTGAGATGCGGGCTTCACCTACAGCGCCAGGCGCCCACCAGAGCCACTCGGCCTTCAGGCAGAAAAGTCTGAGTCACCCAGAATCAGAGAAGCTAAGGACACTGAAGAGGCTCTTCTTAGATCGTAACTGTCTTTGAGGGGGTGCATCCCCTTTTCTCAGTCCCTAAATCCCTTTATTCCATCAGAACCAACCCTGACCAAAAGGCAGAGGCTGAGCCCCTGAAAAGCCAAGTTCACCAGCACCCACCTCACAATAGGCTGGTCTGGTGACTGACAGGAACTCTGGACACCCACTCCCCATCCCCGTCCTCACTTCAACTTGCCTCCCACCCTGTGCCTGCTGTGATGGTCAGTGGGGGCCCGGGCCAGCTCACCATGCCAGTCCACTCTAATTTCATTGTGCTCCCCACATCGAAGGCCACTGACTGCTTCCCACTTCCTGTCAGAGCCAAATACCTGCAGCTCTAGGGGCTCCCGATGCATCCTCATGGCCCTCTCCCAAGGCAGGCTGGTCTTACACCTCGGCACCGCTGCCTCCGCTGCCCCCAGGCCTTTGCTCCAAACCCTCTCATCTCTTCCCCGGGCCTCCAAGGGTGCACACCGCTCTATTCCCCAGACCACCTCGTCTAGGCCCCAGAAGCCTCCCCTCCCAAGTCATCTGCACTTGGTTCCCTTGAGCAGGAGGACAACCCAGCCCCAGCCCAGTGACTCACCAGAGGGGACCCAGGACAGGGCCATGGTCCCATAGTAGGAGAAGGCGCCTGTCTCAAACTTCATGTTCTCCTTGCCTGCCTCCACCTCCACCTTCCCCTGCAAGAACACGGGTCAGTGTTACAACAGAGGGGAATGAGGACTGGGTGGGACAGAGGACTGGGTGGGACAGAGGACAATGCGGGGCATGTGGAAGTCAAGGGCGGGCTGCGCATCCCCAGCATCTTGGCAGAGTGGTGTGGGCAGGCAGTCTGGGTCCAGGGCGGCAGTGCTCACCTGCAGGATGAGGATGAAGTAGTCGGCCGGCTTGTTCCGGGTATACAAGTAGTGGCGGGCGTAGTACTTGTTGTGCTCATCAAACTTGAGCTCCTGGATGACATCTGGGTACTTGAGCAACCGCAGCAGAATCTTCTCTGATATCAGAGAGGGACTGAACTGGGGCACCTCTGTGGGAGAAGAGAGGAGACTTCACTCGAGGCTTGGGGCTGGGCCACTGCTGCACTGCAGCAGCTCATTGGCCTGGGATGGCTCCGCCCCACTGAGCTCTTCCTTCAGGCCACACCTCCCGGGAAGGGTGTGCACCTGACTTCCCTGCTGAGACCCCAAGACTGTCAGCCTGCCGGGCCTCCAAGTGAGGCTTCTGTACTAAGAGCCTGTGACCTTGGGCAAATGACTTAACCCAAGTCTCAGGTTCCTCATCTGTAAAATGAGGATAAAAACTTCACAGGGTGCTGCAGGTTAGTGGGCTAACACGCACAGACCACTCTCACACAGTCCTGGCCTGTGGCCAGTGCTTAGGAAGAGCTCCTATGAAAACAAAGGAGAAGGACTCATGGCACTCTTAGCAAGTGAGGGCTAGGAAGGAAGGTGGACTGGGGGAGAGGGGATGCAGTAGGCAGGTTTTTTCTAAACTGTCACCTGGGTCCCCATGGGAGCTTTGAATCAGGGGTCAGAAGAGAGAAATGTCACTGATCTAGAGATAATTCCTGTGGGAACCAGTACACACAGAGGTGAGGGCAGGGAAGAGGGGAAGAGAGCTAGAGCAGGCTTCTCAGTGCAGAGTAGCAGCGCCAGGGGTGTGGGCTGCACCCAGAGGACCCACTGCCAGTGCAAGGGTCCCTTTTCCTTACCTCTCCACAAGCCTCAGTGGGCTGGGGGCACCCAGGTGAGCGCCTAAGGAGTTCCTCTCTCACCACTTATTTTCAAAACTCCCCCAGGCCTTCTGTAGAAGTTTGCAGTAGCAGCCCAGGGACAGCAAGCAGACTGCAGGAGAGTCCCAGGGATGGCCTTCCCAAAGCAGCTGTGTTGACTCTGCACCCACCACAGCCCCCTTCCAGTAACTAACTCCACCAACAAAGGAAGGGCCTCCTGCTCCTACCTGTGGCCAGGAAGCGATGGGCAGCCAGAAGCAGCTGAGGAGAGATCTTGACTTTGAGTTCATTGTCAGCATCCTTGAAGGCGGAGAAATCACGCTTGTTCTTTGCAGACACCCGTTTCCGGCTTCGGTTGTCAGCTGCAAGGGAAAGATCTAGAACTGAGGTTGCTATCCCTTGAGGACCTGAAAAAGACTGGAGCCCGACCCCAGCTCCCGCTCCCTCTGGCCAGAAGGAGCCAAGGTGGCCTCCTCCGTGTGCTCAGCAGGCGCTCCCAGCTCACCCCACCAGCAGGGAGCCTGGTGACCGGGGCCACCCTGTACCCGCACTCCGCCTTCCCCAGGGGCACGATTCCAGACTCAAGCAGTGAAGGGCCTCTGGGCCTGTGGAGAGTGCTGGACTCACTGTACGTGTCCGACTCGTCCAGGATCTCGGACTTGATGATCTCTTCGATGACATCCTCCAGGGTGACCAGGCCCAGCACCTCATAGAAGGGGTCGCCCTCGCCCTCGTTGTTCACCTTCTGCACGATGGCCAGGTGGGACTTCCCTGTGGGGACAGTGCACTGAGTCAGACCAGCACAGGGACCAGGCATGAGACTTCTCCAACAAAAATGTCAACACTCAGGGCCGTGAGTCGCTGGGGAGGCGTCACCGGTGGCCCCCTCCTTTTCTGTATTTCCTGACGATTCTGTGGCAGGCATACTGCTTTCATGAAAAGGAAGCCCCAAAGTGACCTAAAGGCCTTGCACTAAGGATCATGTGATGACAGGGGCTGAAAGTGACAAGGCTGCTTGGGGCCGTTTCCCAGAGCTCCTGGGTCTCCAGAGGGGACAGACCCACACTGGGAGTGCACAGGGAGACAGTGGAGGCATATGTGCCAGCTGGACAGATGGTCTGATGCTGCCCACGCCCCAGGGCCTTGGAGGCCCACTGCTGTTCGCCCTGCATGGACACAGGGTGTTAAACTGTCCCACGCCAAGACGCTCCTCTGGCTCCTCAGCAGGTGAGCCAGCAGGAGCCCGAGGCCTTCCCTTCCACCAGGAGCAAGGGAGCTGGGAGGCAGGTGGGGTAGCTCTGTGGAGGCTCTGGAGGTGTCAGGGCTTCCTGGGCTCTTCTGGAGCATCTGTCCTGCTCTGTGTCCCCAGACCCAGCAAGTGACTATAGGGGGACACCAAGAAGGGCTTGGCCCAACTCTAGACATGGAAGTGTTTTGATAGCCTCCAGGGAAAGCCCTAGGGACCTGTGAACTCGGGTCCCTGCATGCCCCAGGGGAACGCTGCTTCTGGAAGTTGTCCCCACACATGACCGTCACCAAGATATGCACGGAGACTTTCAGTACCGTGCTGGACAGAACCATCAGGACTAGACGCATCATGAAGTCCCTGGTGTCTTCCCAGAGATAAGCCAACAAGCACAAGAGTGCAGGGCCACACTCCGGCATCCGTCACCTGTGTCTTTGCACCTACTGGAGGCAGGACACTGGAGTGTCCCCTAGGGAGGGCACCTGGGCAGCCAGATAAACTACGTCACCAGATGGAAACGAATTAAAGAAGATAGCTTTAGCACCTTCTAAGATGGCAGTCCCCAAAAAGCTTATTGGTCATGCCAGTGCTGGGGGTGGGCTACAACAGGCCTCACCCACTCCAGCTAGAGGACAAGAGTGCACAGGAGGCTAACAGGGCAGCACGCCTCAAAATTAAGGGTCTCTCCCTTGGATTTTGGAATTCCCCTTTTAGGAATTTGTCCCACAGAGATATGACTATCACAAAAGCACGAGGACACCAAAGGGGGCTCACGGCAACCCCCTCCAAAACCAAAACCTCCTAAATTGAAAGCCACGAGGCCCATCCTGGCAGGGGCCCTGCTTTAGGGCGAATGTGGGGGAGCTGGATGGAAGAAACCCCAGCTGTGCCCCCAGAGTACAAGTCTCGGGACACAGTGCCACCCAGCTGCACAGGAGCAAAGGAGCTAGGGGGCTTAAGCGGGACCAGAGACACCTGGAGGCAGTGACAGGGTGCCCCCTGGAGGACCTTTGTGGGTAGAGCCCTATTACCCCTTTCTCTGAACCTTTCTGTACCATTCTATCTGACAGGCCCATGCCTCACTTTTTTTTTTTTGGTGGTATCAAGGACTTAACCCAGAGGGACTTTACCACTGGGCCACATCCCCAGTCCTTTTAATTTTTTCTATTTTGAGTCAGGGTCTCCCTAAATTGTTTAGGGCTTCACTAAGTTGGCCAGGCAGGCTTTGAACTCACAATCCTCCTGCCTCAGACTCCACAGCTGCTGGGATTACAGGGGTGCGCCACCACGCCCAGCAACATGCTTCACTTTTATCATTGAAAAAAGACCAGAGCGGGGTACAGCTCAATGGAGAGCACGTGCCTAGCAATCTAGTGGCCCTGGGCTCATCCCCAGCACCACACACACACACACACACACACACACACACACACACACAGAGAAAGACAAAAAACAAAAAAACTTAAGGGACAAAGAGAAAGTGCTGCCATCTTTAGGGTGGATGAGGACCCTCTGGGCCTCCGGCTGCCACAGTGTCAGCCCCTGGGAATGGGGTACTGCTTCAGGAATAGCAGGAACAGGCCTTCCTCCCTGAAACACAGAGCTGCCCTCCAGGCACCAAGTCTCACCAACACACAGTCACTTGCACCGAGCCCCAGGGGAAGGCCAGCAGTTTCCCTAAAGGACATAAATGCCCACTGGGGTGGAAGGAGCTAACTCCAGGCACAGCCAGCCACACCAGCCCTCTAGCCTTCTCTGGGCCCTTCCTGGGTTTTGGATCTGCCGCTATGAGAGGCCCCCGCTGGTGGCTGCCACACATGTAACAGGAACCTCCTAAGTGTGCACCCTGGGCACCAGGCACAGTTTGGCCCTGCTCTGTGCTCGGTGCTTCCAGCACTGGTGCTACTGGTAGCTGGTCAGCTGGGCCCCTCACAAGGGTTCCTGGCTAAGGGGCCAGTCTGCAGTTTCTCCTGGGCCAGCCGGGGGCCCTCAGCTGGTTGTCTTTTCTAATTTGTCTACCCAGAGGGGACATCTTTTTGTCCTGGAAGAACCTTCCTCTTCCTTGGCCAGAGAACCTCCTGTCAAGGTCACCGATGACCTCCAATGGCTCTGTCTCCTTCTCAGGTGACCTCCCGCCTCCTGTAAACCTCTCCACCCACTTGGCAACCAGGACACATGGTTCCTGAGCAGCTCCTTCTCCCTGATCCCTTACTGCCGAAGGGTCCTGGGGCTCAGACCGCGCACCTCGTTCTTGCCTCATGATTTAAATACAAGCTTATGTCAAGACACCCCAGAAGTCTGCACAGGCCTGCGCCTCCTGTGTCCCCAGACTCCTCATTGCAACTGGGGACTGAGCCTTGAACCTAACACCACCAGGAGAAAGCTCAGGGACCCCCCCCACCCTCTATGTTCTTCAGCCAGTGAAGGAAGACAAAGGGGTGCAGACTGGAGACAGAAACACTCTGGATTTCAGCAATTTAGAAGTGTCTCTGCTTCAGAACCACTGCTGACTTAGCATTTAAACTACGGGGCAGCAAGGGGGTGGCGAGGGAGCGTGGTGCAGAGCGCTCACGGGCATGTCCAGCCCTGGCACTGCCCCCTCCCCATGGTTGGTTGGTTTTTTTAAGTAAATCAACTTAGACCTTGAATTTATGATTGTCATTTATAGATTCTTACACAAAATTTTATTTCATTGAGCTCTCTCATTTTACTAGTGCTGTCCATTCCACTGGATTACCAGATTTTGAGGGTGGCTGGGGTGACCAATGGAGCATGGAAATTTAAATAACACTTCTGGAGCCAAAATTCTACTTTTTTTTCCCAAAGTAGAAACTAAGGAAACAGCAAAAACCATAGTTATCTGGCTGAACCATATGATATTGTTGACTTTTGGGGGGCATGGGTGGTTCTGGGGATTGACCTCAGGGGCCCTTAACCACTGAGCCACATCCCCAGCCCAATCTTGTATTTTTTTAGAGACAGGGTCTCACTGAGTTGCTTAGTACCTCACTTTTGCTAAGGCTGGCCTTGAACTCATGATCCTCCTGCCTCAGCCTCCTGAGCCACTGGGATTACAGGTGTGCACCACCACACTGGGCAATTGTTGACATTTTGATTTTTTTTTTTTTAACCAAAAACAGTGATTTCCCATGGCACAATCTAACCATCTGAGAAACCAAGGATGGCTATTTTCTTTTTTTATATTTTCCTATATAGAAATTCCAAACTTTCCATAATCAAGTACACGATTTTGTAATCAGAAAGAAACCATACATTATAAGCAATTTCAAAACCACTCTAATGCTGCTTCCCTGGGCCTTCGGCTTCCTGCCCTTCCTACATGCAAGCACTGCTCCAGAGGGGAGCCTGGGCGAGCGGGACCCCAGAGAGGAGGCACCTGGAGCCCTGGCTGCCCAGCGTCTCCTCCAGGCCTCGCCTGGCATGCTCGTCCACTCCACCCTTTGCTGTCCTTTGTCCAGAAGTAGCCAAATAGGACTGTTCCCTCCCTAGTCCAAGAGCTACAGGTGAAGCCTCCAGAAACCTGCTGGCCAGCAGCCTCTTCCCACAGGGTCAGGTCACGAATCAGGGCAAGGAGTGACTGGCTGCCCTGAGTCCCCAGCAGCCCCTCCTCTCCTGCCTTCCCACGTCACCTCTTCATCCTCCTGCACACATTGCCCTGGGTGCCCCTGCCAGCCCTCACTGCCCAGCCTGACCCCATGGCTTCCTCACACAGCACTTGTGCCTCAGGCTAAGGGGGGGTCCAGGTGCTCCCCACCCTCGCTGGAGACAGAAAGGAAGGCTCCGGGCCCAGAAAGCCCAGCCCCCACCCTGTGCGATGCTTATTTTAGCAAACTCCATGTCCTCCTCCCTCCCATAAAATGTTTTTTACAGTTCCTCAAAGACCATAAGGAAACACATCACCATGTGCTGGGTTTCAAAGTCCACAAGGGCCCTACAGGGGTCTCCACTCACCAGCTCCAGCTGCCTTTCCCGTGGGGTACAACAGGGTCCAGATAGGACAAGGGTCCTAGCACCTGAGAGGGTGTCCTCGGTGGCTTCCTTGCTGGGTCTCCCAGCAAGTTCCAGTCCCAGGTTCCCAGGATAGGCCCTGGGCTCCCAGGTCCCCCCATGGGAGGGCCATGGTCGGCATCTACAGATGGCGGGGCACTCTGGTTTCCTGGCCTTCACCCAGACCTGGGCAGGATTAAGCCGGCTATTATTAGTGCTGACCTCAACCTGCAGGGGGGCAGCAGCCCATCCCAGCAAGAACCAGGGTAGGAAAGGAGCCAGCCCGAGTGAGACCAGCCCCCTGGCTTCCGGCCTTGGGCAGGTTCACCCAAAATCCTGGCAGAGCTCGTCCCCCTGGCTCCCTCTCTCCCGGGGAGGCAGCTGCTGGTCAGGACAGTCAGACTAGGCCAAGGCCTGGAGCCCAGGAGGCTGCAGCAGCCTGGCAGGCAAGCAACACCCACGAGCTCCAGAGAAGAGGAGGCGCAAAGGCACGGCAGGCGGCCCAGACTGCCACAGA